CAGCGAGTGTGGCAGAACATGTTTTAATTTGTTGTTTCCATGCAACGGTGATCTCGTGATGTAGGATCCCTTTGGTCATTATGGGTATAGGGATGATGTTTGGTGGTGAAGAGTGTATATTAGGTGTTAGAATATGAATTCCCATGATATTTAATTTAATTGATATGATTAATTGGTGTTATATATATATATATATATATATATATATATATATATATATATATATATATATATACATATATATATATATATATATATATATATATATATATATATATATATATATATATATATATATATATATATATATATATATATATATATATAACACCAATTAATCATATCAATTAAATTAAATATCATGGGAATATGGTGATGTGATCAAGAGGATCGTGTGCATTTAGTGTGCTTGAATTTATTGGTTGTGTATGGTGATGTGATCAGTAGGATCGTGTGCATGTAGCGTGCTTGAGTTATTTATTGTGCATTTGGTGTCGTGCATATCATAATGTTTTGGTGGGATGAATCATTTCTCAGGAGGAGTGTATGTGATTCATCTGTACTCCTTTGTGGAGAATGATGGGGATAGATCATTGCCAAGGAGGGGTGTATGTGATCTATCCGGTGTTCGATTGAATGAACCAATGAGTCGGTACCGTATGCATGGTGTTGAGTTACATTTTTGCATTATTGTGTGTTGTATTTGATGATTGGACAGTAGGTCGTGGTTGATGCATGTTGGATGATATTTTATATGATTGCTACCTTTATTTCATGTATCTTATTACCGATAATTTTGATCATGTTTTCTCACCCTTTGTTGTTGTTGTGGTCTGTGCTTCTTCGGAGGTACAGATAACCCAGGTACTTAGCTAGCTTGGATAATGGTGTGCGAGTCGAGTCTTAGGATGCTCTGATACGTAGCACGAGACTTGGGTGTTTATTTGTTTTATATTGAACTTGCTTTACTCCTGTGACGTATCGTATTTGGTGTACTTGTTAATGGATAATTTTATGTAAATTGGGCGGATGGTCGAGAATATTGGATTAATGATTATTTCCGCTGTTTATTTTGAAAACCAACTAATGAAGATTTATGTTGAACTATTTGATGTGATATCCCACTTGTGAGGGGAAACTCTGATGTTTATTTGAAATAATTGTATTTGATTTGATTTTGGGGAAGTGGGGTGTTACAAACTACCTAAGAGGGTCACAACTTAAAGTAATTAGTCTAAACTTAACAATCTAAGTATACACAGCCTAAGGTAATAAACCTCAAGGGAGGCAAGAATCATACAATGGGTGAAAAATACAAAAGAGAAATGCAATACACACGACGACAAAGTCAACCATAAACCCTTCCATTGGATTTAAACATAGGCAATCATAAAGATTCAAGAGGCATAAGTAAATATCAAACAAAATAGACATCATAATATGAAAGGAGTACAAAGCAAAGCCTTAAGTGTAGCATGATCATGGTATTCATGACATCAACATAATGGGATAAGAGTTAAGCAATAAACCATCAATATGCTATAGTAAGCTAAAGAGTAATCAACAAGTCATATGGTCATAATAACTACCAACAATAAATGCAACAATCTTTTTAGAGTTTTTTAATATCAAATGATAAAATAAATATCTAAAAGAAAAATAAAACGCTTTTGGTATTTTTTTTAAAATAAAATAAATAAGAGAGAAAATGAATATTTTTGACATCCTATTAAATATTACGCAATGATTAGAAAAAAATAAAATGATTTAAATAAATAATTAAATTAAAAAAAAGGGAGGTGAAAGATAGTAAGTACCATGGGCCTTAAGGCCCAAATTAATTGAGGAGAGGAACATATAGAGTCCATGAAAGCTACTTAGCATCCAAGTAAAGCCAAGAAAGTGCCTCACGTGTATTTCCTATTTTATTTCATGCGACACATCGCTTTTGATCGTGAGGACGACTGAAGTAGTTAAAGGTAATAGAAGGATTGTCATTCACATTGGTGTTGATCAACTTGAGCTCACCGACTGACCAAGTACTGTCGAATTTTGACAAGGCAAGGCTTCCCTTGAATGCTTTGACCGGTATGTCTCGCTTGCTCTTTATGTAAGCTCTAATAACTTCTATTGACCTTTGCTTCAGAGGAATTGTGGAAAGTTGTCTAATCTCAGCGAACACGATACCATGATGATAATGAATGCTGCTGTTTGACCGACTAAATCTGCTACTAGCCTCAATGTATATGCCTTTCTTGGTGATACCTGTTGTATCAAAAATAATCTTTTAGACAGTGACATGTACCAAAACTGTAAGTTTGTCATGATTTCCAAAGGCAAGAAGTTCAGCAGATGTGTGATGATGACCAAATCTGTTGAAAATGTTTCCGCCAACTTTTGTTCCATAAATATGATCATAAGTGAAGCCGTTAAAAGGAGATACTCTAGTGTCTATAAGGTTGTCCCTCATTGATCTTTGAAAAGGCGAAAACTTTAGACGATGAACAATCTGCTTCTTAACCCAGGGGTATGACTCATTTACTCGCTTTACATCCCACCTTACCTTACTTATAAACCTTTAGCTAGCTCTAGTATAGAAGCCAACATTAATAGAAGTGCCACCTCCTAAGACTCTTCCTCTTGCATTAAAAACTCCATGAATCTATAATACAAAACCAGCTAGAGTCTGTGTTCACAAGGCTCAAGAAGAGTTAACAGACTTTATAAATATCTATTCTCAATGGATCTAATACAAGATCACAAGAAAGACGTAATGGTTAAACAAGTTACACAATGTATCAATATCTTTACGAATATCCACTCTCAATGGATCTATAATACAAGATCACGAGAAAGATGTAATGGTTAAACAAGTTACACCATAGATCAATATCTTTTGATGTATCTATCTTCAACGTCTATTGTATTATGAAGTAACAAAGACATTTGCACACGTTATCTCTTCCAACGGTTATTCCTCTGAAATTGCTATATAAGTAGCTGGAGATTTAACATGGATTTTCAACAAGAAATAAGGAGAAAAAGAAGAACATACAAGAAGGATATAAGCGTTCCTTGCTTATATCAGAATGGAAGAATAACAAGATTAACAATAACAACACAATCGAGTATGCAGAATTTCTGTTATATGTTGTAAATTGTACAAAACTTTAAGATTTCTTCAAACATTGAATATCTTATAAATCTTAAGTTTGTGATCTTTGTTATGGTTATTACCATGTACCTCTGATTATGTATCAAGTGCACATTGTTCTCTACCTCTGTTGAACTCACAATTATCTTGATTGCCGAAAGTATTTTGAGATACTGAGCAACACTTTCTTTTAGTTTTTATTATGTAGTAATCCGAAGTTTAAACCATCATTAAACTTTGATTACTATTTTTTTATGTTTGCAAAATGTTATGAACTCTGTTCTTTTGGCCATTTTACATACATCATTTGAATGTATTGTTCTACTTAATACATAAATTGGAATTTTTTTTCTTCCATGCCATCTTTTTAAGAATTTATTTTCAAAATACCATATGTTTCAACAAATATACCAAAATGCCACAGTTTTTAAAAAAATTATTTTTTTGGCACAAGGGTGCCGTCCATTCAATGGGCGGAACTGTCATATTTTTTAAAGGTGCCGCCCTTTCAATGGGCGGCAGTGACCAAGTCTGATTTTTTTTTTTTTTTTACATTTTAATTAAGACACTGCCGCCCATTGAATGAGCGGCACCCTTGTGCCAAAAAACCAATTTTTTTGAAACGGTGACATTTTAGTATATTTGTTGAAATATATGGCATTGTGGAACTAAATTTCTAAAAAGATGGCAAGGATGAAAATTCCATAAATTAACTGTAAGTTTTAAATTAAGTGTATATTAACACACTTTACAAAAGAATTTAATTTTTAAAAATGATAATGAAAAACATGTAATATGAATAAAGACGAAACCCGTGCATTAGCACATATAAGATACAATACTGAGAAATATATAATATAAATACATACAAGACCCGTATATTAGCACATGTAAGATACTAGTGTTTAAAAAATCACAAAATAGAAATCAATATTTTTAATTTATGTTCACACATTTTTCATAAAAATAATTAAAAATTTATTCAACTAGACATTATGATAATTGATGAATAACGCGAAATTAACATGTGCACACCTTAGACATTATTGTAAATAAATTTAACTTTTTAGTACATTTAACTGATAATGTATTTAGTCCATGTATGTAGTATATACATTTACAGTTAAATGTACCAAAAAAAAATGTTATTCATAATAGTGACGAGTTGAAATTTTCCAATTTTAATCAATCACAATGAATCTCATATATAAATAAACAAATAAAAAAAAATCAATAAACTCAAAACAACTTACTCCATACACTTCTCATCCATTCATTTCAAATCCTAACAAACCATTTCATTCTTATCCACTCACGCCCATGAAAATAACAAAACCCAAAATCATCTTAAAATCCCAAACTACCCTTCCTTTCCGCAAAACCCCAAATTACCCCTCTCAATCTTCTCTTGTAAGCTTTTCCCAATTCATTAAAATAACAATTAATCAAAAAAAGAAAAAATAATTTTATATTTAATATTTTATAAAAAAAATTAAATATTGTTAAGAAAAATAAAGTGTCTCGATAAAACTAGTTAATATTATACTATTTTTTTTTATATATATTAGTAACGTTTTTTTAAAGAAAAAGGTGAAAATAATACAAAAAAAACCCTCCAAGTTTTCTTTGAATAATTCAAATCACCCGCGTGGTTTCCCTCTTCTCCGCACATTTTTTTCCCAAATAAACCCACCAAATTTTTTCAAATTCCCCCGCTCCAATTTTCACGCAATCTTTATTTAAACCCTTCGTTCTTTCACTCTTCTTCACACAAAAACCCTAACCCTAAAAACAAACCCTTTCCCACTTTTCAAATAATCACTTTTTTCCAAAAGCAAACCAAACAATGCCTGCTTTTCCAGAAGAGCCACTTCTCGCCCCTAACCCAGACCGTTTCTGCATGTTCCCAATTCAGTACCCTAAAATCTGGGAAATGTACAAAAAAGCTGAAGCTTCTTTCTGGACCGCAGAAGAAGTCGATCTCTCCCAAGATAACCAGCACTGGATCTCCCTCACCGACGGCGAACGCCACTTCGTTTCGCATGTTCTTGCCTTTTTTGCCGCCTCCGATGGTATTGTCTTGGAGAATCTTGCCGGAAGATTCATGAAAGAGGTTCAAATCTCAGAGGCGCGTGCTTTCTACGGGTTCCAGATTGCGATTGAGAATATCCATTCCGAGATGTATTCTCTCCTCCTCGAAGCGTATATCAAAGATTCAGCTGAGAAGAATCGTTTGTTTCACGCTATCGAGACGATTCCTTGTATTGCGAAAAAAGCTGAATGGGCGATGAGATGGATCGATTCGTCTGATACTTTTGCTGAGAGAATCGTTGCGTTTGCCTGTGTTGAAGGTATATTTTTCTCTGGTAGTTTCTGTGCGATTTTCTGGCTTAAAAAACGCGGTTTAATGCCTGGATTAACTTTTTCAAACGAGCTTATTTCTCGCGACGAAGGTCTTCATTGTGATTTTGCTTGTTTGCTTTACTCACTTTTAAAGAAGAAACTCAGTGAAGAGCGTGTGCAGACAATTGTGCGTGACGCGGTTGAGATCGAGAGGGAGTTTGTTTGCGATGCGCTTCCTTGCGCGTTGGTTGGGATGAACGGTGATTTGATGAGTACGTATATTGAGTATGTTGCTGATAGATTGTTGGGGGAGCTTGGATGTGGGAAGATTTATAATGTGACCAATCCTTTTGATTGGATGGATCTGATATCGCTTCAGGGGAAAACAAACTTTTTTGAAAAGCGCGTTGGAGAGTATCAGAAAGCTTCTGTTATGAATAGTTTGACTGCAAATGGGGCCGATCATGTTTTCAAGCTTGATGAGGATTTTTAGATCCAGAAATTAGGGTTATCTACTACTAATATTTATATTTAATTTTTAGTAATTGTTTGTGTCATGTTTCACACCATTTTTATGGTTTAGTTTTTAAGGCGTTTCGTAGTTTTATGATGTTGTTTCACTTTCATGTAAAAATGTTGTTTACAAATTTAATGAATGCACTGTTTCTTCCATAATTCTCGATGGATCTATGTTTTTCCTTATTTTACTGAAATGTCCTTGGTTATTGAATTATTTCATTTTCAGTAAACACGAGTAATCGTAATAATTAAGTGATTAATTAATTTAAATAAGGGCTACTGTAGAGAAGCGTTCCTGTAGTTTAGAATTTTATGAAAGCGAAATGAGGGCTTAAAATTTTTAGTTTTACACGAGGGTAATTTAATTGACATAGATAAGATTGGTTTAGCTCGCTCTCGCAGTGAGTAGAGCATTGTTTTGTGGATCTTTAATGGCTTCTGGGATGTATAGCAGTGGAATGTTAACCAGAGAACAAATTTTTCATCTTTTCGAGCGTTTCACTATTCTTACTACCCAGCCTGGTACTTTAAATTTGTTTCAGTTTATAATCTGTTTTGAATGTTGTTTTTTCAACCCTTTTTAATTTTGTTGTGAAATGGTTGTGTTGTGTGTTTTATTTGAAGATGTGAAGAAAAGGATTATAGATGCTGTTCTGGATAAGCAGGTGATTTTCTTCTGGGCATTTGTTTTGGAGTTTTTTGTTGTTCCCTTTTCTTGTTTTCTCTATTGGTGTGTAAATTGAATTGGGCACTTCATCTTCGATTTCGATAGACCTAATTGGGCAATTATTTGGTTTCACATTATACTTTAGCTCTTAAATATCATAAAGGTTTGTTTGTAAAATGTTATGCTGCAATTTTTATGGGATTCATAACCGATGAGCAGGAAGCTGTTGCTGTGACCACTGCTATACAGGAAGAAATATTTGTGGAGATGGGTGTTGGTATGTTTTATTTTTTTATGTTGCATTGAAATGAATTTGTTATTTAGGTTGTATTTTGGATTTCAAGTCTTGATACCTAATTTTCATGTCATTAATCTGTGTAGTCATTGCAATATGTGCTTAAATTCAACTCAGCTGCCTGCTGAGCTTGTCTCACAATTCACTCCTTCCTGAAAGTTCATCTATATAAGTGTGTGTGTATATCTATATATAGATAGATATTGTTTATATTCGTGCATTTTTCCAGAAAGCCAAAACTAACATGCTTTACGGGATACTTGAGTTTTAGCAGTTGAAGAGACACACACGAATGGTAGGATTTTGAACAATGTGATAACCTGCTTGGTGTTGGTCCTTAAGATGTAGTATTAGGGTTTCGAGTCCACAAATCGAGCTATAGCAGCCAGCCTCTTCAAGGTTCACAAACTTCCCTTTTTTGTCTTAGCCTACATATTCCAAACTGTGAACACGATTTTATTCTCTCAACTGAATCTTTTGTTTTCATTGTATTTGTTTTGCTTAAAAAACTTCTTCTATTCCCTTATCCCACCCACCCACCACCACTGGGTTTCTTTATTTATATTTCTTTTGCAAAATCTATGTTTAAGCTTGTTGTATTGGGGTACCCTGAATTTGTGCAGAAGCTCAAGTTTGTTTACATGAAGTTTTATTGTAACTCGAGCATCGGTTTCATGGTCTTACATGAAAAGCAACAATTGAAGGGAAAGGGTGGTTTCACTTTTAGCTATTTACAGTTTTGGTCTGAACCTGTGATTTTGATTGGTTTTAGTGGAGATGAATGGTTTTGATATTGAACAAGTAAAGCATTTAAAAATGATTATGAGAAAAAAACAAGAAAAGTACAGATTACTAATGCTGTTTTTGGTTCTTTGATTTTTCTTTGTCAATTATAAATTATAAATTCGTATTTATGACCAAACACCTCAAAGTTGAATGTTTGGTAACAGATGAGTTAGAATTCCTGTACCCTGTTACACGGATGATTGTAAAGGTGATAGGGGGACATCAAATTCAGATTACTTCCATGTTACCATGACTGCAACAGATGCAGTTTACAACAAATTACAATAGCAGATTATGTACTTCTGGTGTAAGGATAGAACTGGTTTCAAGATAGTAAAAGGAGGTTGGTTAGTGGTTACAATTCCATAATCTCCTCAAGTCCTCTCCATGTTTACTTTGATTGACCTATTTCCCCAATGCATGTAACAAACACCTTACTGTCACTAACCGATAGGACACAATGTCCAGCATGACCCAATCACTAGGTCCAGTTCACACAAGCACAATTTCTAGAAGATTGTAGAAGCAGAAGGAATAAGAGTTAGTTAGCGACCTCCCTGATTTTAGGGGATTTTCTGTTATAAAAGGGAGGGAAGGGGAAATATTGTTACAAAGTTTGTTAGGAGAGTTACATTCTGGTTTAGGAGCTCATAGAATTCTTGTTTTATAGCTCTGGTTTAGGAGTTCATAGAACTCTTGTTTATGCACTCTTTTTTCTGTTTCACACCACTGTAAGAGCTTGAGGCTCACCATTTTCATTTTCAGTCAATAAGGTTTAGTTTGTCACCTTAGAATTCTGAGTTCTATCTTTGGTCCGACCTGTCGGATTGTCGAGGGAGAGCCAGCATTTGTGACATTCAAGATGAATGAAAGAATTGACCCATTGGAAGCAAGAATGCGAAGATTGGAGGTGGCAGAGTTTCATCAATTGTTACAGCCAGAGGTGGCTAAGCCTGAGGGGTGTGTCCATCAAGGAGGATTCTGGTGACGATGGTCACTCGTTTTCCAGCAATACCTCATTGGGAGGGGGAAGATCAGCACCCAAGTTCTCGGGGAGAAAAAAGCTAGGGATTGCGAGTTTGAAAGTCTACTGGAGGAGACTTTTTCTCTGCAAGTGAAGCGGACTAAGAAGGAGCAAACACAATCAATGGCTGCGATTCTTCATTCGAGTATCCCAAGATGAAAAGCAGTGAAAGAATATGAGGCATGCGTCAAATGGGAAAGTCAGGGAAAATGAATGTACCAAGTATGACGGTAGAGAGGCAACATGTGTGTGGATCAGACTTGCAATCCTAGTCGAAATCATCCGATGCCGGTCGACCTGCGACGGCAATAACACAGCGAGTTCTACCGTATCGGAGAGGTTCCACGAACGGGGTGGGACAGGAGAAAACCAACAGGGAGAGAGGGAAGTTGCGAGTTGCCACTGTCATTCTCGGAGTTTCTGAGTGCCGTCGTGACCATCAAAGAGTGGTTGAGTCTGAGCACATCATCGCTGGTGCAAGCAGAGGCTCGTGCGGTACGTAAGGAAGAAGACAAAATGAGGGAGAAAGGAGTGTGTTCTGAGTTACTGGACTTGGGTCTGAATAAGAAAAGGGGAAAGTTGAAAACTGGTGAGTTGAAAATTTTCTTGAACTAATAGGCCAGGCCCACTTTTGTTATTAATTTTGATACCGATTTTAAAAAGTGGGTAAGGTCGCATTTGAAGCAAACTGTCTGGTCTGCGTTTGAAAGTGAGTCTTAGCCCCAAATTACTAATGAAGGGAAGGCAAGGCAGAAAGAAAGGAAAGAAACAAAGTGGGAATTGATGAATTAGGAAGAATAATAGGTGTGGTGCTATGAGAGGGACTTAGTTTTGTAGCTAGCTTTTAAGGGAGTTCCCCAAGTGCTTGCATAATAATCACAGTTCCTGCTTTATTCTCTCTGGACATGCTGTTTCTGATGGAGGTTGGTGTTCAGCAATGCAACAATCCACCAGAAACCTCTCCTTTACTTCATCCAGCATTTTCACTGGAAATATCGCGTTATACATTATAGGATTTCCTATAATTGCTATTTATTGCCCATCTTGTTTAAATTTCAATGCAACCTCCTTTGAATTTTCCTTATTTCAGTCAACTCCTCTTACTATTCCAATCCCAAACACTACAAATCCCTCATGTAAAATTTATAAGCTAGATTTCCAAACCTTTGCCTGCACCTTGTGGCCATCACTCATGTTCACCAAATTGGTAGGAGTGTCATCTATTGATAAACTGATATCTCCCACCAATTACTGGGAAATGAAGTTGTGAATTTCTCCACTAGTCCACTGTCAATAAGGATTGTCATCTCACTTTTCAGAAGAGTAGTCCAAAGTAGTGCTCTCTTTGGAGCCAAACCACTCACTCATTCAATTTCATTGAACTCTTGATTTAGTCTTTCATGACTCCCCTCTTCTACTTCATTGAATTCCTCCATAATCTTGCCTTGAAATGTTGTTTTACAAACATATTCAGGTGTGAACTTTTTCATACAAGTTAAGCGAGTCCCTTCCTCCTCGTCTCACAATATCCTCTTTTTGAAAGTGATCAAATGCTCTTCCTCTTGTTCTTCCTCAGTGACTTCTACTGGTGCTGGTAACACTATTAGCCTGATCAAATTTTCTTCCACTCCTTAGTTCTCATTCCATGTCACCACAGTATAGCTGTTTTTCACATTACACACATACTGAGCATATCAGCCATGTCAACACTTTAAAGAGGACTCAACATATCACGTTAACTATTGGGTGACAAGTTAACAATTGGACCACATTTGCATAATTTGAAAATACTAGTGTCATAATTCATAAATGCACAGGCCCTAAACTAGGGGGCATCAAAAGGGTGACTGGGCCAGAAAACTTAAGGCATTTTAATATCTGTGGTGGTAAGGTTGACGTTGATAGATGCACTGTTTTAGTTTTTTTTTCCTCTCTATTTTAGTTTAGGGTAGCTGTGGGGTAACTTGGACCATTTTGATACTCAGATTGATGATATATGCCGAATCTGCGTTGCATTATCTTAACCAATCTTGATAGTTATTTATTCTGGTGACCAATGCAACAGGTTGTCTATTTTTTCATACTTTTAATTTTCTTGAAGATATCTTCTGTTTGATACATCTACTATATGTAGATTTTGCCATTATTTATTTATTCATTTATTTATACAACAGACCCAAGATTTGGTATTTCATGCCTGGGAAAAATCAGCACTGAATATGAGAATGACCGAGATTTGATGATTGAATTTTATAAATTCCTTGCCAAGTAAGTCAGTCATCTCTATTGTGACATGTAGCAATAACTCATATCTTCAATTCTTTGTGCAATTCATAGAAGTACATGCCATGTCAACCTAAGGAGAAAGCACTTAATTCTTTTGGTTGTCTAAATTCTATACTTTTTCTCCCGTCACTACATAAAAAGGGATTATTAGAAGCAATTTTTTACTGCAAAATTGGCCTTTAACTATGAATTGTGAAATGGCAGAGAAGAGATGGCCTGCGATGAAGCAGAGCTTGGAGAAGAAGAATTTGCAGAAAAACAGAGCTATCAACAAAACTTACACCAGCAGGTAATATTTTCAACTTTAAGTTGAATATGTTGTGATTCCTATACGCGTGCACTTCTAATATCGAGAGAGTAAATTTTTACAGCAACTAGAGATGCTGCTGCATATGCGCAAGTTTAACATGGATGATCAATCTGCAATACTTGAGAAGGTAAACACTATATTAACTTGGAGATTATTTAAGATAATTTACTAAAACAACTTATGACATATTCATACGCGATTTTCAGCTTATGACTTTAGTTTTCCATGAAAGCAAATTAATTAGATTGATTTTCCAGTTACACCAGCAGATGGAGAATGGCAATTATGAAAGTGAGGCATCCATTTTGTCAGCTGGGCAGATGGAAGAGATAATTCAAAGAAAGGTGACCCCTCTGTTTATGCCAAGTTAGACCCAGAATCTGCCCTTATCATGGACCCACAACCTGTCAACTATTTTGTATTGGCATATTCCATAATCCGTGATATGTATTATACTTTGTTTATTTTCCAAAATGCATTTATTCCATGACGTGTGGTATTATTTATTTCACTTCATTACACTTATCCACACAAATGTTCTAAATAAATGTTTGTGATTTTTGCGCATATTCTTACAAATTATCAAGGAGAGTAATTTCTATTTGGATTCTCCATTAACTGTGTAATTTTCATCAATCAACTTAAGTATACCAAAGAAGTTTCGCTAAGATTCAATATGGATGAGTGTATTAAGGTTGTAGCGCCATGGATTCTGGAAGCAAATTGACTAGAGACAAATGAGGAAGAGTTGTTGATGCAAAACATGACGAAATGCAAGCGCAAACACATTGATGCGAGATGCCACTCTTTTAGAGATCTTACAGAAAAAGGAGTGATTGAGTTGGTCTATTGCAGTTCACAAAATCAACTTTTAGATATCATGATCAAAATTTTGAATCTTGAGTCACTTTTGCAAGTTAAGGGAAAAAAAATGGACATATATTGCTTTGCTTGTTTATTATATTAAAATAAATTACTAAGTGCTTATTTTATAGGAATGTTCAGTCTAAAGAAGATTATGTTAGGATTAAAAGTTGGTTAGTTACTTGTTTGTGAAGTAACTAGTTATTGTGTTGCAAGCTAACCTTAAACTGTCAAACTTTGATTTTGTGAAGAAAGTTTATAAATATTACTTTCTATTTCTTCAATAACCGAACCTAAAACAAAGTTAGAAAAGAAAACTCAGAAGAAAAAACTATAACCATTTTAGCAAAATCCATTTGCAGTATCAGTAACATTAATAGCAGGTGGAATAACAAAGTGCCAAAGTTTCTTTACCCCAGCAACTCTATATTTCATGCACAAAAACTCCTTAGCGTACAGTTTCTCAACAGGCCTATCCACATCATGAAGAAACACGTGCGTCACACCCGCTGTTTTCCTCCCACGCGCCATCACTGCTGCAGAATATATCACCGCCATCCTCCCTGGAGCCGAGGGAAAATATCCCCTCGGCGCATCAATCATAATCACATCCCAATCCCGATCATACACCTCGTTCGGAAAGTCGCCCAATGCCAGCCTACATCGACGATCATCCTTGAGAGGGTGGCCGCCTTCCCCGACCGTCCCACAATTCTTCTTGTAAGATGATAGCAATGCGTTGGCTTCGATGAGGCGCGTGTTGTAACGCACCGTGTAGACGCGTAGAATAGGAAAACGCCTGAGGGAAGAGATTGTCCACTTAGCTTCTTCTTCGAGGAATAGCGTGATGCCACGTGGATTAAACGAATCCCACATGAGCGCGTCGTGACCGATTCCGAATACGAGGAAGTTGCATGGTCCTAAGGATTGTAGTACGTCGAATGGTTTTCTGATCTCGTTTTTGGTCTGTTGGGGAACGTCACTCGCCGTCGCGTAGTGGAAGATTGCAACTAAGGGGATTGATGATGTTGAGAATTCGTCGGCGATGATGGTTTGGGCTGGCGTGAGGGATCCGACGGCGGAGCATATGTGTCGGGGATCTGTTTGTCGGGAATAGAATACGAAGAGGATGAAGGCTGCGGCAGTGATGGCTATGACGAAGAGATAATATGAGTTGTTGGAGTTTGGTGCGTTTGGATGTTTCTTTTTGTTGTATTGTTTTGAAATCAAAGATTGCATGTTGATATGTTTGTGTTGTGTTAATGATGTTTTTGTTTATTCGGGAGTGATGAGGTTTGAATGAGTGAGTAGTGTGATGATGGAGAAAAGATGCATGGAGGTGAAAAACGATTTTATTAGAGTTTGAAGTGGCACTTGTTTTGTGATGGTGGGTGCTGACTTTACTAAGATTAGTTTCATCTAGACATTGTCACCTTAATTTGTGTGGTAAATCTTTGAAAAGAGTTATTATTTTGAATGATTAATAATTTTCATGCTGCCTCGATCCACTACTATCATTTAATTTAGCAGCATTTTCTTAATATTGCTTTGTTGTTATTATTATTAAATAGCAAACTAGGAGTCATATATTTATATATGGAAAGGAAAAGTGTTACATAAAAAACAAGAAAAACATAGAGCACCGAAGTGCTAAAGAGAAGAGAAACAAATTTGGCTCAAACATAAGTTGCAAACAAAACTAAAAAGCAAAAACAACAAAATAAGAAAAAGTAACATAAGCCAATCATTCCAACAAACCGATTTGTTTTAAAAACACAAGCTCAACGATAATAAGTTGGAGAAAGGTAGACACAATCTGTTACATAAAATAAAAGGAAGACAATTGTTCATCCAATACACCTTTAAATATCTAACCACTTGAGTGGTCTCGCTCTCTATAAACTAGAGAAACAACTAAATCCAGAGCATGGGCACAAACCCATTTCCACGCCAAACTAACAATTAAGACATCCTAACAACCAAACTTTACCGACAAAAAATAATTTTATAATGCTTTTTGCAAATCGTCCAGATCTTAGAATGCCAAATTGAGATCAAACTTAAAAACGTCTGTTTTTCATGACCAAGACTCTGAAACAACTCAAACACCTCTAGAATCGAATGTGGCAGAGACCCATGCATCCCCACCCACATTAACAATATATACCGTAAAGCTGAAGCCACCTCATACAAAACAAAGATATGATTATCCGACTCCACCTCCTCTCCCCCTGCACACAACGCACCTTGTAATATTAGAACCAAACATGATTTGACACCTTAGGAGATTCTACCTAGCCGAGAACCTATTTTAAAACAACTCACATGAAAAAACAACTACTTTAGAAAGGGCCCAAATCTTCCAGACCCTAGAAATCCCCCACAATAACTTCTTAGACATACCTTCATTACCTTTAACTAACTCCAAAATATTATCATAAGTTCACTAAAAAAACACTAATTTTCCATGTGAAAAACACGCCACAAACCAAAATATCACGTCACAACATCCAAATTAGCGACGTGAGCAAACATGCTGCAGGAACGCTGTCGCAACTGCGAAAACACCCGGCGTAAAAACAGAAGAGTCGCCACCGAACGTTATTTATTCCAAAGAGAGGGAAAGAAAATGGTCGAAGAAAACCTGAAGAACAGAAAAAGACAAGGTCGTCGCAACCAAATCTTGGGTTCGGGAGTCAATTAAGCAAGGGGAAGGTATGAGCACCCCTCACGCCCGTTGTACTCAATGGGATCCACGATTGTTATCTAATCAAAGAGTGTGTTTTTTTATAAGCTACTACTAAATGGAAACAAGAACAAAGAAAAAAAAAGAAAGAGACTCGATAGGACATCTCCACCCTATGCCAACGTATTCCCTCGTGCAATGAGAAAGTCAAAGTCAACGTAGTTCGAAAAATTAAGGGTGATGGGGAAAAGGTTGCTCGCCAAGACATCTCCATCTTGTGCCTACGTATCCTCATCTGGTATGAGAAATCAGAGCAAACGTAGTTCAACTAACTACGAAACCACAGGTTGGTTAAGTGTTTTTTTATGAGTGACGTTAAGTTCCCATTCTAGCAGTTAGGGTCGATGCCTGTTTGCGATAGAACAGAAAAGTGATGTACTCTTTCTGAAAAGGAGTTTTGTAACAAAAATCCAGAAGGATAAAAAGGTTTGAATTTAGTTTGTGAGTTTTAGTGAAGTGAATTAGTTTGCTTTGTGATTCACGTTGCACTAAAGACTATGATATAGGATTGAATGCATCGCATATCGCCCCCAGACGGGACATATGCTAAACACTCTAGACAAGCGAGAGGAGACCCCTCCCTCGTCATTTGCCATATGCTTAAGATTCGTGGCACACAATGTTCATCGTCTTTATTAAGTGTGTTAGAAATGTTTTGAGATGAGAAGAGAGAAAGACGCATGAAAGGTCTAAGGGAAACTCGGTCCTAACGTTGTCATGTAAAGTGGCCCTAAGGTCGGGATGCGAAAGGAAATTCTATCCTAATGTTAGCATGCATAAGATGGACCTAACGTTGAGGTTAAAAAGGACTAACCTACTTGTTATCATGCATGGATTGCACTTCTAGTGTCTATCCTAATCCAAAATTAATAGAAAGTTAAATTGGAATAGAAATCCTAAGGGAGTATGCAAAGGCAAGGCAAAAAGCAAGAAAACAAGGTAAAAAAAGCAGTTACAACAGCGCTTTCTGCACAGAACAACAATAAAATCCAGCAAGGCAGCACAACAACATTTAACAACTACTAATTCAACACAAAAATAGGTTCAAAAGGGCAGGCAGGCATCAAGCATAATAAAGACAACATGCAAATTCAGAATAAGACAGATGTAGAAAGCAGGGCAACAAGCATGTTTCAATACAATCAAGTATGAGCAAGCATTAATCATGAACAATATCATGCAAGAATGAACATGCATCAAAAACCAAACACAAATCTTCAACAAGAATGCATCATCAAGAATCAACAAGATCAAAATGCTTTTCAAATCAATTCAAGCAATTAAACGATCATGCGACAAACAGAATCAGAAGCAAATGCAAACATGTATCATAAGTCCAGCAAGACAATCATTAACAATTAATCATTAACATGGTACACGCAAGCAAAACATATGATGATCACATCAATCAAGTAATATGAACATGTTAAGCATTCAAATGGAAACCAAAAGTCACGCGTCGAAAAATCGAGATCAAACAATCAAGTATGATGAAACAAGTCAAAAACTGTCCACACAAATGCATCATATCAATCCATGAAGGTTATAGGTGGAAAGAAATCAAAACATGCTTGAAAACAACCAAAAATCACATTCTGGTCCAGTGTTAATCGATTAACTATTTGCTAGTGCAAACTGGTTAATCGATTTACCACTTAAAAAATTTAGAAATTGCACTAGTTAATCGATTAACCAGTTTTGTATTGCAGCTGGTTAACTGATTAACACTGCACAAGAAGCAGAAAAATAGCAATTCAAAAACACTTTCAGCAATTAGTTAAATGTGCAATCATCCAAATGATCATGTAATTAATTATGCACGAATTTAACACCAAACATCAGTCATCAAACATCAATCAAACTTAATCAAGCATTAAGATCACAAATCACCAAAATCAATAAAAACTTGAAGATCTACATTGTGATTATCCAAATAAGCTCAAAACAGAATTGGATCTAGAATTAACCAACCTTCAAAGTTGAGATTTGCTTTGGTAAGTGTTGATCTACTGCAAATTGATAGATCTAAGCTAGAAACCCAAGAGATCTGCAAGATCCAAGAGCTTTCTTGCAATAGAAGTGAAGAACAAGCCAAAATAAGCCAAAATTGATCCAAGAATCACTTATAAACTTACTTCCAAAGTTAGATCCAAATCCAAACGAAAGTCAAATGATGAATTGAAGATGATGGAGATGAATGATGGAGATTTAGCTCTAGAATTCAATGATTCTAATGAAGAATTAAAGAACTCAAGTGAAAAGAGCTCTAATGGGGGTTTTGGAGTTTAGAAAAGTTGAGAGAATTTTGAGAACAAATTCTCAAGAATGAGAGAGTGTGAAATATGAAGTTGGTAATTATAGTGAATTGTTGTGGAAGTTTGGAGAAAATTCATTTAAATAGGCTCTTGGTCAGGAGTAGAATTATGGTTTGGAGTGAGGTTTTGAAAATTGGAATGAGATTAGTGTTGCGGTGGAAATAGGATATCAAACTATTAATTAGTTTGAATCACAATTCTTAATTCACAACCGCTCTTTGATTTATCCGAAGGGAAAGGTCAAAAGAGGGAAAACCTATTTTTGCATCGTAAACACAATGCGGGGAGAGACCTAGGTAAGGGGTTGGTTAAGCTTAGGGAAGGTACTAGCACCCTAAACTTCTGTAGTACTCTACAGGATCCTTTTGTTTATTGTATGCTTTTTTATTTTATTATCTGCTTTAATATATATTGAGCTAAGGGATAGAGTGACCTAAAGACCTAAGGGTTAGTCCTAAGTTTACTCGGCAAGACGTCGCATCTTGTGCCTACGTATCCTGGATAGGGAATGGAATCAGAGTAATCGTAGTTCCCCTGGAAAGGGAGGTTAGAAACGTCTTGACTATGGTCAAGGTTTCAAGGGGAGTAAACATATCTTAAGGACACGCTTACGTGGAGTCTTTGAAACTCCTATTTCTATGTTGAATTTGTTAATTGAAAATTTAGGGTTGAAATTAGGCATTCCACGACGGGAAACCCTAAAACAGAGTACAACGACTCTTTGACCTAAAGCTAGGGTAAAGGGTATTTTTCGTCCACGGCGGGACACCTAGGCTAGTAGGGTTTTTGAAACGGTCAAAAATTAGGGTTATTGACTCGGCGGTCAAACGGCTAGACCTAATTCCTTCGGAGGGAGGAAATTAACGGTAAGAACGTGCAAAATGGAAAATTATTATATGACATAAATAAAGTGCGAAAAAATAAAGAAAGCGGTAAAAAAAAGCATCGCGACAATCACTCGCGTAAATTACAAATTTCCAAAAAATGCAAAATAAAATAACCGCGACCATGGCCTCGCGTAAATTACATCCATGGAACAAAATACAAATAAATGAAATAATAATAAGCTGAAACAAACAAATTAACGAGGGTTAGACGAAAATGAAACGGCTACATCAAACTTTATTTTTGTGAATTTTTATTGAAAAGAGGAGAGGAGAATTAATTTCATGCTTAAA